AGATATCAGTGTAATTCCTGCAGTCACCTCAGTTTTAAATGCATTCATAAAGAAGACTTTTTAACACAAAACATGTCACACTGTGAGTCAGGGAGTTTGAGCACATGCATTATACATCCCTGCAGAACCCTGGCCACAGTGCAACCTGTTTCATACTACTGCATGTGTATAGCCATGCGTCGGCAGCCTCCAGGAATGCTTCTTTCACAACTTTGCCGTCTTTGAAAGACTTCATGTGTTTGGCAAGAACGTGACTGACACGATAAGATGCTATGGTAGCAGCCTTGCTATTGTTGTTGGGCCTGGTGAAAATGGACTGCTGTGCATTTAGCTGTCCTTTCAGGTCCCTCCCCTTTTGGGAGCGTAGGGCAGAATTAGGAGGGAATTCCGTCTCGTAGCGTTTGTGCACTGTTTTGAAATGCCGCTCCTAAATTACCCTCCTTCGATAAAGCCACGCTCACATTGCAGATGAGACAGATGGACTTTGAATTGGAATAGATACAAAAATAATCATCCTCCCACTCGGAGTGAAAATTATATGTTTTGGGCTTTTTTGCTTCTGCCATAATTGTGGTCTTTTGTGTGTGTGCGGACTGTCACTCCTGTTGCCACGGACAACGTCAGCAAACTAGTGCCCACTGCCCACCAGCCACGCCCCGACACATGGGGTCATGCCAATCGCAACGCTTTGATGCGTTCAAGTGCATTATTCTGGCACAGGAAGATTATGTTATAGGACATTAACGATACAACAGAATATTGTTGTTCTATTTTTAAACACATCTCGCGATCGACTGGGAATCTCCAGTTGATCGCACCCCTGGTACTAACAAAAAAAGAAAACTGCATTGACAAGCAGGTCAAGTGATCAGTAAATCAAGACATCTCTTAGAATACATGACACATTTCAAATTCATGAATTCATCTTTTTTTTATGTTGAAAGTAAGATTTAATCACCTCTACCATTGTAGTCTGGTTTAACTTTGTTCTGCTTTTCCCCCGCCTCAGAAATCCCCGACCCCAGCAGCTGGACCCTGAACCCCTCAGCCTCCTACGTGTACTACTGCTGCAACGAGACGGTGCACGGCGTGGAGTACAACTTCACCCCCGAAACTAACGGGGTGACCCTTGTCAGCGACATGTCCTCTAACTTCCTGTCCCGACCTGTGGATGTGTCAAAGGTGAGGACAAGAAGGATACCCAATACATTTTCTTCTGCTTCCGGGCCCTCTTCCTCCAAATGTTTATATTAATCTGATTTTTTTGTGAGAAAAATACTTAAATATACTGTAAGTTCACCCATTGAAGTCACAATAGGACCTGAGATATACTGATGTTAAAAAGAACACTACAAAATAAAAGGTTATAACAGAAAAATGACCAAATGATGACCTGTTAACAGCATGCTAACTTTACATGTCCACTACATAAGAAAGCCCTTTTGACTTGTTTATAAACACAGCCATATATTTTGCTGATCCATTCAAGTCTGTGGTTATGCACAGGCATATTTCAATGTGCTGTCTTGCATTGTGTAGTTTGGGCTGATTTTCGCCGGAGCCCAGAAGAACGTGGGTTGTGCCGGGGTGACTGTGGTGATCGTGCGGGAGGACCTGCTAGGCCACGCTCTGAACGATTGTCCCATTGTGCTGAACTACAAGGTGCAGGCTGACATGAACTCCCTCTACAACACACCGCCATGTTTCAGGTACAGACTCACCTAGGTTTACTGTTAGAAGCTCCCATGTTCAATACAGAGTGAGGGATTTCAATATATTAATGTGAGATATGTAAAATGCTATTTTAAAATAAACATATCCTTGATGCATGTCACAGACATTAACTCTCAACAAGAAAGCAAAGTGTATTTCCCCAAATATTCTTTACAGATATTTAATAACATGTCACAATCATCTTGTTGAAAAATTATTCATTACTTAATGTTTTTCGCTTAGCATCTACATCATGGGTCTGGTTCTGGAGTGGATCAAGAACAATGGCGGCAGCGCTGCTATGGAGGCCCTCAACAAGCAGAAGTCCTCCATGATTTACGACATCATCAACGCCTCTAACGGTTTCTATGAGTATGTATCACAAAACTTCAGATAAATGTTAAAAAGCTAATAAGAAAACAAGACAAAAATATTAACATGATTTGGTATCCTATCGGAACTAAAAACATAATAACAAGAGGAAAACCCTTGAGTCTAGGCTTCTGGACCATACTAAAGGTTATTTATATACAATGACTGAAACAAGAAATCAGATTTCAATGAAATACTTAGAATGTTTTATCACTGTGTGAAGGTGTCCTGTTGATGAAACCTGTCGAAGCCGCATGAATGTACCATTTCACATCGGGAGTAAAGAGGGGGATGAAGGCTTGGAGAAGGAGTTTCTGGCTGGTGCTTCAAAGCGTGGAATGATATCACTTAAAGGACACAGGTTAGTGAAACAAGCTTCCTGTTGTTGCATTAATGCCTACCTTTTGCTGTATTTTGTGGTTTACTACAGCGAATAGTTCCTATAGTTTTCCACAAGAAAGGTATGGTCAAGTTACAAATGAACAACAGCAGTTTGATACTTAATCACATTTTTTCTTGTGATGTAAGGTTTTTAGACTTTTAAAATGGCACTTTGTTCCCCCCTGCAGGTCAGTTGGAGGAATTCGGGCCTCTCTTTACAACGCTGTCACACTGGAGGACGCTGAAGCCCTGGGCACCTATATGAAAGTATTCATGAAAGAGCACTAATAAGTCGGCTATGCTTACATTTAGCTGATATGGCACACAGCAGTACATTACTCCAGTACCTCTGGTTTATCTGTAGTTGAGATCCATGTTGGATCTGGAAGGTGCACCTTTAGACATGTTTTGTATAACCCTTTCGTTATTAATAACTCCTGTTGCCAGTTATTTCTTAATTCCATCTGTTATTATTTTAATGAACATGTTGACTAACAGTGCGTTGATGTACATACTTTAGGTAATTCTTGTTACTTGTTCAAATTGTATTAACATTCCAGTAAATCGAATTTGGCAATACTGACATTTGCAGTGTGAATTCTTGTTTTATGGACCACATTTTGTTATTTCAATAATAATAATGTATATCAAAGAGTGATAGTTTTTTCACTTATAAGAACATAGAGGCAATGTAACTCAACGAAACTGAGCTGTGTGAGGCTGGCCTGCTTTTTTTTTGTTTGATTAAGAATTTATGTTAGGAAAGGTGACATCACAGATATTGGGAAAACATATGAAAACATGTTTTCTCATTTCTAGTGGCATTTAGCCATGCAAACAGTTACGATTGTTTTTTCCCCAGGCTTTTAGATATCAATGGCTGAGATTTCTCCTTCCCAAAAAAAAAAATGTGATTAACAGTTTTACATCGTTGGTAGGGGTTAAAGTAGAATATCTCAAATATGAATATATCAAAACGTATGCAATTACAACTTAATAATTAAAAACAGAAAGGTCTAAATGACTTGTTAATCGCTATTATATGATCTGTTGTTTGTCCCATTACCTTTGATTAAACAATTCAATTTAGACAGAGTATGAGTTTGTCAGCAAGAAACCAAACAGTCTATGCAAGACACACTTTATATTCCCATTTATATTTATCGTAATTTTCATTCAGGCTAATTCTTGGGTTTAATAGGCTACTGTATGAACAGCTCACATGTCTGCAGACACAAACTCTATCAAGACTGCAGCTGTTCAAGCGACTGACAGCCGAACCAGCAGGGGTCAGCTGCGGCTGTCATCACAAACTGAAGTCGCTTAACCTGATGCCTTATACTAGGGGTGTCCAAACTACGTCCCGGGGGCCAAATGCGGCCCGCAGACCATTTTGAATCGGCCCTCAGCAAATAAAAAAAGTATAATGGAATATGGCCCACAAATGAAACTTGTGCTTGTCTTGTATTGTACTTCTTAACTATAAATGTAAAAATATATTACACATAGTATTCATGTGTTAATAAGACCACTTTTCAAATAAATTCAGTCAATTAAAGTTGGAAACATTTTCTAACAAATTTTAGCTTAAGAAAAAAGCACAATTACTTATTTACATAACATGCTTGAAATACACCCCTCATGTTCCCTCTTACTATAATCAATCAATCAATCAATCAATCAATCAATCAATCAATCTGAGGCTTCTGTTTTAAGGGATGAGCTGCTAACACTCACAAGCATCATTTACATACATTTGTTTGATTTTGCTGACTTATG